ATAGACTCCACATGTCCAAACCTGCAGCATTTCCTACATTGGACAGTGGGGTAAATATATTGCTGTACAAGAAGAGAATTATAGCAGCAGAAAACTCGTTTAGGTAGAACCTGGCCATCAAAAGTGAGGACACAGGATTCTGTTGGCTTCCACTCCAAGATACCTTCATTAAATGATTTTCGGTTAAGACGCCTGACTTTAATAATCTGCCCATAGCCCTGCGGCACTGTCACAAATTTAATTACTTCATCCTCATTCATGTCCGTAGGGATACCAGAAACAACACCCATTCTAGTAATGTTATAAGTAGGAATGCTGGCAGTGAATTTACAAATATTTAAGAGGGGGTTAATTAGGAATGCATTAGCATCCTGAGGGGATGAAAACTGTACGGATACTCTATTCCTTCCAACTTTTGTAATACCATCTCTGACAATATTACTTATATTGTTTTTAAAAAGAAAAAGTCCAAACGAAACAGGATGGAGAGTTGTACCAGAGCCTAACTGGCTCTCCACGCGAGAAACATGTACCATGTAGGGACCACTGTCATTGTTTGTGTATTTGTCACGACTAATAAAGGTTTTCGTTTGAGTTTGGAGACGTTGAAGAGGAGGGGCACTTACCTCATCGTTCCCATTTCGTTTTCGTGAGGTAGAAATGAGGGGCCTGGTTTCTTCCACCGTAGCGTTGCAGACCAAATTGGCAAACTGTTCTAAGGGGTTGGAAGGGGTTGAAGGTTGATCGGGTAAGGGAGGAATAGGGGTGAAAGGAGGGGTTACTGGACATGGAATATCGGGAGGGTCGGGCGGTTTATTTCCGTTCATGTTCACTTACCGGTAATACAAACAACACACCGTAACCAAGGACAGCACAAAATAACAAAAAAAAAGACCCAATAATCACAAAATCACCAAAGGTTTGAAAAAATTCTAGACGCACGTGCTAACCAAACGAACGACGCGACAGAATCGCAAATACTTCATTTGCGATTCTGTCTGTCTGCCTCTGTCTGTGTTCTGTCTGTGATTTCACGTAATGGTGACAGGTTGTGTCCTTGGATTCGATGTTGCCACTTAACAGCCATAAAATCGGAAATGGTTATCGATTATTTCTAAAATATAATTTCATATGAAATAATAATCTACGAGGTGCCTTTAAATTCTGTACGCCTTTTAGTTTTTTTTTAAATTATATTTATCTATCTATATTAATGTATTTTTAAAAAATAAAGTGATATAAAGAACCCTACTTTTTCAATATCAAAATAACTTGCAATAATAAGTGAGCGAGAACTGCACAAAGACACTAGCGACATCTGTGGAAAACTACCCGTATTACTGACACAAGTCCGAACCATTGCGATCGATCCGTCAAGGAGCTGGCCATCTGGGCAAGTTGAAGCGGAAACACAAGAGGGCGCTAGTAGTAACATAACAATCACTTCAATATTATTTTACAACTTATAAAATAATCTGGAAAGTATAAAAATGGAGGAAATTATGCAAGAGCTTCGAAAAATTCGAAGAGATTTAGATGAACAGAAAACCGCAATAGAAAAAAGTGGGGAGAAAGTGACAGAAAGAGTTACGCAAAATATAAACTGCATATTGGAAGATAAGTTTAAACTATTCAATGAAAAATACGAACATCTAAGGGAAAAATGTGAAAATCAAGAAAAACGACTATATTTTATAGAAAAACAGGCAAGAAAAAACAACATCGTCTTTTTCGGAATTAAAGAAACAGAAACATCATATTCTAACCTAGAAAGTCTCATAGTGAACTTTATCAAAGAACACTTCTCTCAAGAACTAGACCGCAGGGATATTCAAGAGGTTAGGAGAATAGGCAAGAAAGGGGAAAGACCTCGACCAATAATTGTCACTTTTTGTACACTCGGCACAAAAATTAATTTGTTTAAAAATAGAAGTGCACTAAAAAATACCGGTTACTACGTAACGGAAGATTTCCCACAAAATATCCTAGAGAAGAGGAAAGAGCTTCAAGAACGAGCAAGAATCGAAAGGGAAAAGGGAAATCTTGTAAAAATAAAATACGATAAGCTTGTCATAAATGAAAGAAACAAAACAGCTGGAAATAACAAAAGAATGCTTTCAACTTCGCCTGAAAACAAAACCACAAAGGGAGCCGAAACTAACACACAGGTTTATAAGAAAAATAAATCACAAACACAAATTAGAAGAACTTCAAGCCTATCGGAAGGCACTTCAAAACCGGGCATGCTGAATTATCTGATCAACAGAAACACAAACAACTCATCAGATCTGCAGAAAAATAATAACGTTAATATATAGCAATTACCGCCCCCCTCACGCAGCGTCAACATACACCAACCACTATCAGAATACCAAACTCATCGTCCAAGCCGGCTGGTCACCGTGGATGATCATGACCAAAACCCTCCAAACAACCCTCCAAAAAATGAAAAAACCTCACAAAAAACGTTATACATTCTGACATATAACGTTAAAACACTTTCATCATATGAACGTTTGTTAGAGCTAAACGAAGCGCTCAAAGAAATTAAATATGACATACTAGGTTTAGCGGAAACAAGGCGTATTGGAAACAAAATTGAAGAGTATGAAAACTTCATTTTCTGCTATACAGGCCACACACCTGGAAGACATGGCATAGGTTTTATAGTTAAATACCATCTTAAAAATAATATAGAAGGCTACCTCGGCCTTTCTGAAAGAGTAGCCATATTAAACCTGAAATTCGAGAATACCAGCTTATCAATCATTCAAGTCTACGCCCCTACTGCACAAGCTAGCGATGATGAAATTGATAAATTTTATGCAACAGTAAATAGGGCAATAGAACTAGCACACAAAGACTTCATACTGATGGGCGACCTGAATGCTAAAATTGGGATACCAAAAAATGAGGAACATTTAATCATGAAAGCACACGGATATGGAATTAGAAACGAGAGAGGACAAAGACTAATCGAATACGCCAGTGAAAACAAACTGTCCATTTTGAACACTTTCTTCAAAAAAAAACAAAAAAATAAATGGACCTGGCGATCCCCGGATGGAGGCAACAAAAATGAAATTGACTTTGTGCTGTCAAATCGTCCTCGTCTATTTAAAAACATAGAAGTACTAAACACTAACTACCCTTCGGATCATAGGCCAGTAAGAGCAACAATATCATATGACACACACTTCAAAAAAAACAGAACAAAGTTTACTAACTGTCAAACTAACACAATAACAAGCGAAGAAGAAATCACAAAGTTCAAAGAATACCTAAGCTCCTACATATCGAAAGACCAATTTTTCACTAAGATTACTGTCCCAGTCCAGGAGTATTACGACAACTTAATTAAAATCATCACCTCAAGCTTGCAAAACGCCCGAGTAGCACATAACCCAAAGAAAGTCCACAAAATAATTTCAGAGCGTACATTAAAACTTTTTAAAAGAAGTCAAGACCTGCAAAAAAGTTCAAATAAAACTAGAGCAACAAGAAACGCAATCTCGGCCCTTTACAAACTTGTCAACAAATACATAAAAAAAGACTACGCCAACTACAGATATAAAACTATTGAAAAACACCTAAGCCAAACTGGAAGCACAAAAAAGGCATACAAAGAGCTAAAACCAAATAAAACTTGGATCGAAGAGCTGAAACGAGGCGATTTAACTAAAAACAACCGCGGCAACATTATTAGCATAGCGACAGAGTTCTACAGGGATCTCTATAGCACAAAAGAGCCAGAATGCAGCAGCCACGAGAACCAAAATAACAGCAGCGGCGGTAACACACTAATAAGACCCCAAATTGAAGAAAATGACGTTATTGAGGCTTTAAACAAACTGAAATTAGACAAAAGCCCGGGCTCGGACAACCTAGCAAACGAAACCCTAAAGATATCTGCCCCAATACTAGCTACATCCTTTACAAAATTATTCAACTCTATCCTCGAATCTGGAGAGACACCCACCCAATGGTCTGAATCTAACATAATTCTGTTATATAAAAAAGGCGACCCGAAGGATATTGGGAACTACAGACCTATAAGTTTGCTGCCGAGTGCATATAAGCTATTTTCTACTATCCTGACCAAAAAAATTAGCTCTACATTAGAAACAAGGCAACCTGTTGAACAGGCAGGATTCAGAAAAGGATTCTCTACCATCGACCATATTCACACACTCGAACTTCTCATCGAGAAATATCAAGAGAGAAATAGACCACTTTACTTGGCATATATTGATTACAAAAAGCATTCGATTCAGTGTCACACAACTATATCTGGCAAACTCTAACAACACAGAATGTGGGAAACGAATATTTAAGAGTAATCAAAAGCATATACAGGAAGAGCAAAAGTAGAATCAAACTAGAAACAACCGGTCCCTGGTTCCCTATAAAGAGAGGCGTAAGACAGGGGGACCCGCTTTCACCTATACTATTTATAGCCACATTAGAGTCTATAATAAGCAAGCTTGACTGGAATGAATGCAGAATAAAAGTAAAAAATAAATATTTAAGCCACCTACGTTTTGCCGACGACTTGGTGTTGATGTCAGAGAAAGGAAAAGAACTACAGTACATGGTAGAGTCACTCAACAAAGCTAGCAAGCTCGCCGGACTAGAGATGAACCTCTCTAAAACTATGGTAATGACCAACAACACCAAGGTACAAATATACGTCGACAACGAGCCTCTCCAATACACTGATAAATATATTTACCTAGGCAAACAAATAAGCTTCGACAGACTAAACAACTACCAAGAAATTGAGCGCAGAGCCCAGTTAACATGGAATAAGTACTGGAGCCTTAAAGAAATATTTAAGAGCAACATGCCAATCAAACTGAAGACAAAGGTTATGAATTCTTCCCTTATACCATGCTTGACCTATGCTTGTCAGACATGGAAGTTTAACAAAAATATTAAAAATAAAATAATAACGTGTCAACGAGGAATGGAGTGTCAGTGTCAATGTCAGTGAATCAAAAATGGATAAAGAAGACAGTATTCGCTTAATACAACTTTACGGAAGCTTCAAAATGTTATGGGATTCGAAAGATCCAGATCATTTAAATAAAAGCAAGCGAGAAGATTGCTGGAGGAAGATCTCTAAGGAAATGAAGTTACCTATACCCGAGTTGAAAAAGAAACTTGACTCATTGACAGGTTCATACCGACGCGAAAAGTCAAAACAGAGAAAAAGTAATATCACTGGTTCAGGTAAGGATTCTTTTATTTAATTATAGTGAATGTTAGATTAGTTAATTTCATTATCAAATATCAATATGTACAACATCTACTATAGGACACACCATAGGAAACGAAAAATAACCTATAACGTCTACATATTTGTTACAGGCGCTGATGAAATTTATATATCGAAGTGGTTTTGTTTCAAATATTTTGACTTTATGTCAAATAAAGATGACACAGGAATTACAAAAGAAGGCGGAATAGATAACGTAAGTCCTTTATTTATGTTTATTTTCAAAATTAGTTGAACATTAATATTGATGCTGCCATGGAATTATTCCGTTTGTTACAAAATGTGTTGCTAAATGTAGACGAATATCTTTAGCACTAACAGTACCTCTGCGCGGAATGGCCGTTAGAGGTAATAGTGCTGTAGATGGAATATTGTTTCTCCATTGACCTGTAATAAATGAACAATCAACTTCTCTATCATAATATTCTGGTGGAATAGAATAATTATATAAATACACTGTTGCTAAGACAACTTTTGTAGCTTTTTCTGGCTCTAGGAGGATAGGTTTCCTAAGGACTCTGTAGCCTGAACTTAAAATACCAAAGGTATCTTCAACGACTCTGCGAGCTCTGCTAAGTCTGTAATTAAACACTCTTTCTTTGGAACCCGCCTCTGGATTACCTTCAAATGGTTTCATAGTATATTTGGTAAGCATAAAAGCTTTGTCGCCCAATACGAAATATCTTATTTTCATTATGTACGGTATTTGTAGTATCTGCGCTTCAGGAATGTTCAGTTGACAGTTTTGTAATTTTCGATATAAAATCATATTTTTAAAAACTCCGCCGTCGGAAATACGCCCTTTACTTCCGACATTAACAAACAAGAATTTGTAATTAGCATCCACGAGAGCGAAGAGCACTATACTAGGAAAGTTCTTGTAGTTGTCGTAATCAGTACTTAAATTGATGGGTCTTTGAAGAGTTACGTGTTTCCCGTCCATAGCCCCTATAACATGTGGGAAGTTTCATTTTATTAAACAATAACCATTGCCATCGCCACAACCATCGCGAAAGAAAAGAAGGCTGAATACGAATGCACAAAATGATTCTCTTGACAATATATTGAAGGACACTTTTGCCATAATTGAGAAAAGTTCAACTTCCATAAATGATCCATGTGTAGCATTCGGTAATTATATTGCACATGAACTCAGAAAATACGATCCTTACACTCAATCATGTGTTAAAAATGCTATTAATACTATTGTTCACGAAGCGGACATGGGAAGATATCAGATGTATAGACCAGGATATTACACACAACCACCAACGTCAACCATAACTGGTTGGTGGTGCTAAAAAAGTTAATACACACATTTAAGAGCTCTTAAATATTTTAATTAATTTAATGAATTAATTTGTATAATTTCGCACAGTTTGTAAATCAGCAGAATCTTCTTAGTCCTTTACAATCTGGGTTCAGACCTTGTCACAGCACAACCACCGCTCTCCTCAAAGTGACAAGCGATATTAGGGAGGGTATGGAGGAGACTAAAGTCACAGTGCTGGCTTTGATTGATTTCTCGAATGCCTTTAATACCGTTAGTCATGACGTTCTACTGGCCATCCTTTCCTATCTTATGATCTCCTCAGAAGCTCTGGAATGGTTCTCCTCCTATCTTCAGGGACGACAACAGAGTGTTCATATTGATGACTTGTCGTCGAGTTGGTGTGATCTTCTCACTGGCGTCCCTCAAGGCGGTATATTATCTCCCTTATTATTCTCAATATTCATTAATCTCATAACCCAGCACCTTCAGTGTACGTATCACCTGTACGCTGATGACTTACAAGTGCACACACAGACAAGGGTTGAGGACATAACATACGCTGTCGACAAAGTCAACAAGGACTTGGACTTTATAAAGAGCTGGTCAACGAGGTTTGGTTTGTCGGTAAATCCAACCAAATGTCAAGTGATCGTCGTGGGGAGCAAACAAATGATAAGTAGGTTGGATATGGCGGTCATCCCACCAGTTGTCTACAACAATGTGACTATACCTTATAGTGCAGTGCTAAAGAACCTGGGGTTATATATCGACTCGACACTTGACTGGCGGGCACAGGTTACACACGTCGGCCAGAAAGTCACCACATGTCTCCGTGCCTTATATCGATTGAAGAACTTCCTTCTCGCTAAAACTAAGGCTACGCTTATGCAGTCCTTAATTATTCCCATAATCGACTATGGTGATGTGTGTTATTTTGACCTGAATGCAGACCTTCTCAATAAACTAGATCGCCTTCTCAATAACTGCATTCGATTCGTTTTCAATCTTCGCAAGTATGACCACGTGTCTGCTTTACGTTCCCAGCTGCAATGGCTCCCAATTCGTCAGCGCCCCAGTTTACGAGTACTGACTTCTCTCTTTTCTTTCCTCAACTCTCCATCGTTACCTGAATACCTCGTACCCCACTTCCGTTTCCTATGCTCCAATCACGATCGAAATCTTCGATCAACCAACAATATGCTTCTTCTATGCCCCCCTCACACCTCTAACTTCATCAACTCCTCCTTCTACGTCCAGTCAGTCCTCCTCTGGAATGCCCTCCCTGCCGAAATCAGGATGTCAACAAATCGCCTTGCATTCAAGAGAAAAGTGCGCGATCTTCTTCGGGGTGAATTGGCGAAATAGTTACAGCTCTAGTTCCCGACTGAGAATTTATATATTTTATTAAATTTATGTAGGTTTATGTATGCATGTGTGTTTTTATATTGTGTATGTTTCTGGACCTAAATTATGTTAATATCATATTTTATTTTGCACCTACCGCATCATATTTCTACATCACCTGAAGGTTGACTGGGAGAGAATGCCTAATGGCATTAAGTCCGCCTTTGTACAATATGTGCATTAAGTTTAAAATAAATAAATAAATAACTTCTGGTGAAAATCTGCAGAACACACAATTTACTCCTGCAACTACTACAGAAACATCAGACTTTAATTTTGGTGACAGCTCCGTTATTTAAATATGAGGCAGATAAATAAATAATTTGATTGCTTAATTACCATGATTTTTATTTACCTTAGCGGAATCACTGAGGGCGTCTATAATTGTATCACACGTTTCTGGAACTATAGTTGATATAGATTGTTTCGATACTCTAAAAAGATATTGAAGACTGCTATAGGAGTCTCCTGTTGACAAATATCTCAATGTTAGCAGCACTCTTTCGGATACAGTTATTGCTTCTCTGTAGTTAGTGTCACATTTTTGTATTTTCCATAGTAGGCCAAAACCTCCTTTCTAAGGAGAGGCTTATGTCCAGCAGTGGACTGTTAAAGGCTGATGATGATGATGATGATTTTGTATTTTCACAGCCACTAAGGAGCACAAATATTCAATGTCTCCCGCAGACATGCGTGTAAAATTTGGTCTGGACGCGGCTAATTCCTACTAATTTGAATGTTTGGCCCTGGGATTTGTTTATTGTTAGTGCGAAAGAAATTTTTACTGGAAATTGGAGCCTTTTGAAGGGTATAGGCAAATCAGTAGGGATCATGGGTATTCTTGGTATATGAGCTAATTCACCAGCTGCAGGGCCGGTGATAATCTTCGCTACTATTAAATTATCTTTTAGCTCCTTTATAAGAAGTCTCGTGCCATTACACATGTTGGGGGGGCTTAAATTTCTGAGAAGCATTATCGGCGTGCCAACTTTTAACGACAGTTCATGAGGTGGTAGCCCATCGGGGTTCAGAGAATTTAAAAATTCCTGGGGGTAGTGCACTGCGTCCTCGATATTAGTGACGGTGTCTATGGATTTATAGCACTTAACTTCACCGGGTACTTTCTGCATAATTAAATTGTTTATTTCGTTGACTGTTTCATTCCTGGGAGAAACTATTGCTCTACAACACAGCCAACGAAAATAATGTTGATGTAAGTTTTCGATGTCAGGATATAAAGTATCTATCAGACTATCTAAATTATGGACTATTTGGCCTAGAGACTCATCCAAAGTAACCGCATAATCGGTGCCCAAATTTAAAGATGGAAAAATTCCTTCTCCAAGTTTCAGCAGCTGTTGTGGAAAATTGCTATGCGTATTTCCATGTAGATGAGCTCTCATATTGGTGCGCAAATTCAAATGTTGAACAGATGTCCAAAGGTGAGGCGATTTTAAACATGCCTTCATAATATCTGCTCGCGTACCTCTGTTGACGACTGGAAGCGTTTGTCTGAAATCTCCAGCAAATACAAAAGTGATACAACCCATGACATTAGCAGAGCTTCGGAGGTCTTTTAAAGTACGGTCCACGGCCTCCACATGAGCTCTATGGTGCACTCATGGTGCATTCATCCCATATTACCAACGACGCGTCTTGCAGCAACTTACCAAGAGGCCCATTTTTCCGAATAGAGCACCTAGACCGTTGATCTAAAGATACGGATAGCAGGAGTTTAAACGTAGAGTGAGCAGTCTTTCCTTCTTTCAAGAGAGTTTTCCTGACGAAGCAACTGCAATCGCTATCTTCAATGATTGCCGTATCTTAGCAAGTATCAAATTTGCGAGAAGTCTTTCCAGTGCCTCCTGGTGCGTCCAAAAAAAATAATCTCCCCATGTTATTGTTCACGCTGTCCACAATAGTCTCATAAGCATGTATTTGATCTGGTATTAATTTTGGCACATTGTCATTAACAAACGCTGTTAGATCATTTCTGTTATACTGTTGTACCATTGTGTCAATAGTATTATTCTGGGTACGAACGGGAGGAGGCAATCCAAAATCACTTAAATTTTTCTCGTTTAATTCTAGAAGTTTGTTTTCTATTTTAATTAATCCTTCATTATAAATGATTTTAAGTGAAGGGTAAAGTGTTATCCTGATTTTGTTGTCTGATACGATGTCTAATATCTTCACAGAACTGATCTTTGAAAGTATCCCATAACTTCAATGGTTCCGATGGTTGACAAAATAAAAGTATGACTACGAACAACTCCCTTAGTTTTTTTGGACAATGTGATAATGAAGCTTCCCTTAAAATGTTACCCCAATGGTCATCGTTTTCAAGTAAACCTCGGTCACGGCAAGCTGCTTGATACGTCTCTTTGACAATACCGTTTACAGTTTTAAGGTAATGCATATGAGGTGCATATGAGGTGGTGCAGTAGAATCCTAAGATAAACACTCTGATTGGGATGGATGTATCCCGTAGACTCTACCTAAATCGGCATCTTTTTTTATCCCCGGATGTGCAACTACATCTTCACCACGCCTCCTTCTAGTGAATTTATTATTTGTCCATTTATAGTATTGCGGGACTTCATGATACAGAAGAGTTTTCGCAAATTCATCTTCATTACAGAGAGCAAAAAATGCCAGTAATGTGGTATTGCGTGGGTTTTGGACAACTTGATAAGCTGTCCCTGGTGTAAAATACACCCTTTGACCGTTCTCTAGATGAACGGTCAAATGCACTACAGTAGGATGCCGGTCGTGAATGAGAAATTCAAATAAGCGCCAGACAGCTTCAGATGTGCTTATGTACCTGCCATTTAAATAGTTTTCGACCTCATCGTGTGGGTTTCTAAGGCTAAAAGTTGCCTGATCTGAACCTTTATTTATATAGTTACATATATATTGAATGGCTTGGATAAAGTGGCAATACTCTACGTTTATATGAGCGTTAAAAGTCTTACATAGTAGCGGGGAGTATGGAACAATCCACCTATTATCTATCG